AATGAAATCCGAAGGCGCATTGAGATAGTGAAACAGAAATATGTCGTTAGAAAGAAAAGAGTACTGAACTATTACATAAAATCAGTTTTCCTATAGGGTAGTGAATGCTGGACGGTCTCCTCAAAGATGAAGAGACTTGGAGCAACAGAAATGTAATTCTACAGAAGGATATGATGGACCGAACATGTGAGCAATGATGAAATTTTACAGAAAATGGAAACAAAAGGGACACTTACGCTTAATATCAGGAAGGGGGAGTTAAAATTTCTAAGAAACATAATGAGGAAAGGGAGCTTGGAAAATCCAGGCTAAATAACATTTTCCTCCCACACACCCAACAACCAGCGTGTGCTTAAAACAAAAACTTTTCTCAACTTATTCTTTGTTTTTATTTTCTTTTAATTTTGTTCTTTTTCTTTTTTCATTTATTTTTCTCTCTCTCTCTCTCCCCTCCCTCTTTCTCTTCCTCCCCTCCCCTCTTTCTCTTCTTCCCTCCCTCTTTCTCTTCACTTCCCTCCCCTCTTTCTCTTCCTCCCTCTTTCTCTTCTCTTTCCCTTCACTCCTTCTTTCTCTTCTCTTTCCCTTCCTCCTTCTTTCTCTTCTCTTTCCCTTCACTCCTTCTTTCTCTTCTCTTTCCCTTCACTCCTTCTTTCTCTTCTCTTTCCCTTCACTCCTTCTTTCTCTTCTCTTTCCCTTCACTCCTTCTTTCTCTTCTCTTTCCCTTCACTCCTTCTTTCTCTTCTCTTTCCCTTCACTCCTTCTTTCTCTTCTCTTTCCCTTCACTCCTTCTTTCTCTTCTCTTTCCCTTCACTCCTTCTTTCTCTTTTCTCTTTTTCTTCGTCTAATTTAAATCTATATTTCATGGCATTGATTAATCAGTCCAAATTTATGAGTTGTCATTATTTACATACCGACTAATATCACGATCTTTATCTTTGTAAATAATCCGCATGTAAATAATCATTAGATTTTCTATGACCAATGGGATTTTCTTTTCAATGTCTGACTCTAAATAGTGTCGCTTTCCTTTGACCCTTTCTCCAATACCGCCGTTTGAAATCAAACTATACCGTTCCGTGACCGCTTTTTGTAAAGCCCACGGGGCTGGGGTGGGGGAGGTGTAGTTGGTGAAAAATTCTCACGCTTTAACTGTAGCATTTCTGCATGGCGAACCGTGGAGAAACGATGGCGCGTTGTATTTCAATCCCTTCGCTGCTCAGCTGAGCAAAGATGGTGCTAACCTAACGCGGATTGTATGGCCCCCAAAGATTGGCTGACTGTGGAACAGAACCCGGCGGTGTGAAAGAGTAGAACGTGCGATTATCTGTCCTAGGATCCGTCATATTTTATATTTTGACTTTATTTTTCTTATTAAGACCTAAAAATCGAGTATCGAATAACAACTCGCACTTTTAAATGGCAATGGGAATAAAGAAGCGAAACAAACGGAAATGGGTTAAAGGCACGGAAGTCTAACAACGGCAGACAAGGGAGACAACTCTAAGAGAAATAACTCCTAAAAGACAGCGCCTCTCCATGAAAAAGAGATAGATTTCTACTTCCTATTCTAGATAGTTACGTATTTCTCTCGGTCGCCATATCAAATCAAGAATACCCTTTTCAGCTAAAGGATTAACACAACACAATATTTCTTCAATGTGGATTTGTCACGAAAAGCATTTGTAATTTTGCTAGTGTACAAATATCTCAGAATATCATGACTGACGCAACACAACCTTTCTATCTATCCTTATTGGGGTCTGTGTCATTGGATTAGTGATTAAGAATACTTATTTTTGTATATATTTATTTAAAATAGTTTAACACAAGGCCCCGATACTAGGTCGTTGGTTACGAACATAACATTCAATGGCACGAATGTTTACATATATTTTAAACAAGCTTAAAGGGCGCTCTATTAGGCGGCCTTTAAGCTAGCTCCTGCGGAGGGCTCTAGATTGGGCCTTCATAACAATAAGTAGGGAGGATTAGATGCGATAGGCAACATCACCATCATCTTGCGGCCTCAGCCGAGATTGAACTCACCAATACTTTGATTGGTGTAGTTCATAATCTTGTCAAATAGCTGAATTCTTGATGCTTCGCTAGGACTATCAAGGGTGTTTTTATCGTGACACCATCACTAAATGGATTGCCAACCAAGGCTCAGAGAGACTCCATTCACCCTCCTCTAAGAGCTGGTTTGAATTCAGTTTTCCTTCTCCTAGACCAGTTGCCATCCAAGGCTATAGAACCCAGTCTGTCCTGCTATTTACCCATAGCTGGAGGGAGAAGAAAGAGGATTCACACCTTTCCCAAGGGTGTTAGCACGTAAGTGAATGTAATGGATTCGACTGGAATTCGAACTCGGCTCTCCGATTCCTCAATCCAAGCCGCTATCCATTACTCCACCGTGCCTCCTCCACTCCACAGAGAAACTCAAAATTGATTGCTTCATTTAAGTATTGCATTTAAGCTTACCTTTTAACGGTTCAATGATAATTCATCTGCTGTCACTTAATTTAAAGATAATTTGATGTACGTAGGTCCTTACTTTCCGTACAAACAACTTTTTTTTCTTTTTATTTCGTGGATGACTTTCACTGGATTTCGCAATTAATTTCTTTTATTCCCAAATTTACTTCCAATTTATAAAAATTGTTATCGTATAAAATTTCGTCACAAAAAATCACATAAAAAAATCGCCGAAAATAATCGCAGTAATGAAAACTTGGGAATCCAAAATGTCAGGATTGCTGTTTCGAATCCGGCCCGGAATGTTTTTAGCTGGCTCACGTAGCTGGCCTAATTCCAAAATGATATATGTTGGGCTACGGCCTCTAGCAGTAAATTTGAAAAAGTGTGGCACAGTGACATTCACATTTATATAGAGTCTGTCAGTAAGGAAAACTTGAGACCATTTTTCCAGTTTTACTTTGGCACCAACTTCTTTTATCACTGTATACGGATATAAGTTTTTGATCCACTGCCTTTATTCCTACTCCCTCTAGTTTTATTTATTTTCTGCGCTAACAAACTAAAAAAAAGGGAACAATTTTGCTATTTTCAAATTAAAGTTTTATTGATTGTTTAAGCTTGCTTAGTTGATTTGAGATTGGCAATCCCTTCCGAGTTTTCAGAGGTCAGGATCAATAGAAACGTTACTAACAGAATAGGTTTTATATGTAAATTAATGGAAATTATTTTAATATAAGTGTTGAAAGACTTTAGTGGCAAACAACGAGTTGCCAAGCAGACGAGTTCTGTTTCTTCAACCCCAATAGGACAAAACTTTTGGCTAAATTTGCAGCTACACTAAGCAGATATTAATTACAAATTTTGAAAGACAAAGTGCGTGCATTATCTGGCGTGATCGGCAGTTGAAAAAAAAAACCCACTCCTCTCAAAACCTCAGTCACAATGACTTACGATCTCATGCTAGCGAAATCATCGACAGCATCCGAGCAAATCCGTCCATCCAATTTCACTTACAAAGTTTAAGTCGACTCGTTGTATCACTACTGGCACGCGCCGGGATCGTCTCTCCGAGCTAATATTATTGTTGTAGGTTGTACTGATGACATGTTGACCTTGTCTGAATGTATTTCCTCACACACACACACACAACAAATCTGTTAAGAGGTCGGAAAAATCCCGTACCACAAAACGGACATATATCAAAAAGTGTTCGATACGGATGCCTTGAAAAAGGACCAGCAGGAGACAAGTAAATATAATAAAAGATCAAAACTTTATGTAACCTCACACAACCTTGGTTTCGAAAGGTCACATAAAGTTTTTTTGCTTTATTTATATATATATATATATATATATATATATATATATATATATATATATATATATATTAGAAACATTTCATATACAAGATATAACACAATAAGCGTAAACATAAATGATAAGTCTTTCGTGTGCATTTGGAAGAAATATTTGCATATATCAAAATAAATATACGTATACAGACAAAGTGTTTGATTATCTGGTTTGGTAGCAGCAAGTGCTATGAGAGCGTTGTCCTCAAATATCTGCTTCGTTCGGCCGTCAACAATGAAGAGAGATAATTTGGTTTCTGTTTCAATTGGCGGCAAAAACGCCTGTTCTGATGCATAATGGAAGTTTTCATATTTTTTCGTTCTTTTTATTGTTAATTATCATTCCTAAAGTAGTTTTATTATTAACATTTCTTTTATTCAGATTTCATACTCCTATATAGCCTGTAACGTATAGTACTAGACTATTTAGTGATTTTTATTTGTTGCTATCACTACATTAGTCAAGGAGGTGACTTCTAGATAATCAACCATAGTGAGATTCGAACTTGGGTCTCTTGGTCGGAATTCTAATGATCTAACCACACGGACTCGTCGCCTACAAGATGCGTTAAATGCAAACGTAATGATTTTATTACAGTGTAACCCGGATATAAGAGTTGCCGGGACCGGAGAAGAAGTCTCTTATATCCGGGTTTCTCTTATATCCGGTTTGGTCTATTTTGTTTAGATTAACACAGGCTCTAATTTGGGACCAGAGAAAATCTCTTATATCCGGGTTTCTCTTATATCCGGGTTACACTGTATTAAAATGTAAGGGATAGTCTGTGGTCAAGAATTAACTATGGTGTTACCAACAGAATAGGAAAGTTTTTATGTATAATTTTCTATGTATTTGAATAATAAAGCCGTTTTGATTGAATTTTTCTAAAGTTTGTCTTTTTCTTTATTTGCAGGAACCAAGGGTTGACTGACTGAATGACGACCCACTTGAAATCCCACGGCCGCAAATAGCCGCAAAAGTCTTTTTTTTTTCTTTGAAGTTAGGGTTATATGCCCTGACTCCCACAAAAACAGCAAATAAATACACCAGAGTATAAAAAAAAAAAAATGGAGAACAACGTATCAAACGATTCCTATGAAATTCTTCAAGAACTGAATGAAGAAAAGGCAGACACTTATCTACCAGTTGTCTTTTATGTCGGAACTTCAATGGTTTTCGGCGCTGTCGGTAACAGCGCTGTGTCTTATATCTATTACTGCAAACTTGAAAAGACGGCTACCAATTTGTTTGTGGCTGTTTTAAGCGCTTGTGATTTACTTAGTTGTCTAATTTCTATGCCGGTTGAGATTGTCGGTCTCCGTTTTCCTCTCACCTTCCACAGTGACATTGCCTGCCGTTTAATTCGTTTCGTGGTCGCCATGGGGACTATAACGTCGGCCTTGATTATATTCATAATATCGGTCGACAGGTACTTACGCGTGTGCCGTCCACTGGGTCGGCACTTTTCGCGAAGATCAGCAAAAATAGCGTCGACGGTTATGGTCTTCTCTTCAATGGTGCTAGCATCCCCGGCCTTCCTTGTGTTTGGCAAGCGGCGGATACAGACCCGAATCTCCGACATCGTTGGGGAAGAGTGCTCGATTGCCGAGGGGCTGACCAACACGAATTACCCGTTGGCTTACTATTGCTCGTTGTTGGTCACCTGCTTTGTTCTGTTCGTCGTGTTGATGGCTTTGTACTTCTTAATCGGCATCTATGTGTGGAGACACAAAAAGAAAAACAAAGGTCGTATGCAGAAAGTGGTCTTTACCCACCCGTCCAATGATCGTATGTCGGCAACTATTTCGTCTAGCAGTGGAAACGTGGAGGAAGACTTGAAACTGCACAAACCAACCAGGCATAAAGTTTCCCGCCCAATCAGCAGCCCGGTTGATCATCGTCAACCAACGTCGGTTCGTGTGTCGAGGACAACCGTCATTATGTTTCTCATCACGCTTCTTTGGATCGTTAGCTACCTGCCACATCTTGTCATGGTCACTTGTGAAATTGTAGTCAAAAATTTCCGTACATCACTCGGCACGACGGGAGACGTCCTCTACAACTTGTCTTTCCGGTCGTATTTTTTCAATAACGCTATTAATCCTTTTATCTATGGAATTTTTAACCTTCGCTTTCGTAAAGAACTTTTCATTCTTTTGGACAACGTCTTTGGTGCCTGCTCTTGTAAAAGAAGCCAATAGACACGCCCGTTCAATGTGGGGGGGATTTTGGTTTCAATAAATTCCCTAGAAAACGTACTCAAATTTTAAAATAGTTTCCAGTAAGTGAAACAATGGAAGAAGCACCAAGAAATAAAATTCAACAAAAAAATAAACAAACTACACAGGGTGATCCGAAAGTCTTGTCACCCTCTACCTCTCTGTGGGAGCACGTGTCCGCCATCGGAAATAGAAAATAGTGACAAGACTTTCGGACCACCCTGTACATAATTCTGCCGTCTTCTGGAATATAAACAAACGCGCGCACACACACACAACCCCCCTACACACACAACCCTTTCAGATGGAGTGTGTTTTCCTTCAATAAGAATTCTCACAAAACCTGCAGTAAAATTCAAAATTTCAAGATTCCAGCATAAGAAACTAAAGAAAGCAACAACAACAAAAAATAAATTTGTTGGTTTCGTCTGTTGAAATACAAAAAAATATATGCATATACAAATGCATACATCTTGTGAAGATATTTAAGCAAATTCCTCGAAATAACAAAAAAAAAATAATAGAAAAAGGTTTGTTTGAAAAAATCTTTTTTAAAAAACTGCAGCGACGCAAAGAACCAGAAACTTTTTATGCCTAATGCAAGTTCTGTTCCATAATAAGGAGGAATGGTACAAAACTATTCCTTGAGGCCTTCTAGGCATACAACTGGATTTGTGTTTATATATATATATATATATATATATATATATATAACCGTGATTTTTATTTTGTCATATTCTTATAAACAAAACAACGAATATGCAGGACTAAATGCTTTGTTGTTTGGAACAATAAGGTTATGGTTAGAGAACAACAAATTCATTCGAATGTGTCTACAAGACAAAAAAAAATCAAATCTAACCACATGTGAATCTTCTTCGTTTTGAATTTAACCGAAATTTACATTTCAAAACACGGAACGCAAGAAAAAATTGACAATTTTTTTTTTTTACACTTGTATTGTCTACGATTTTTTTTAACGAAGGATTTTATTTTATTTATTTATTTTATATTTTGTGAGCTTTTTACTTTTATTTTTTTTTATTTTATTTTTTTTTTTTTTTTTTGCCTTTTTGAATTTTTGTACAAATTTTCCAGCAGTCTGATTTATCTCTCATTATCTCTCAAAATTCATCACCTTTGAATAAAAATGCACACACACACTGAACAATCATATATTTTAATAGGCGTATTCCGAGGGTACAGATGCCACTTGATTTTGGATATCTTTCTTTAGCATTAAAATCGAATAACAGTTCAGAATATGTTATAAGCTGCACCAATCCCGTTCTGGTGATTGATTCTATACATTCTTCTGTATAAAAAAACGCAAACTTGCTCGGGTTACTTTGAGCTTATTTGAAACAATGTTTCTGGATGAGACGGTGATAATGGACCACACAAATCCAGCTTCGAGGTTGTGACGTCTCTCAACCGTGTTCTTTATGCAAGTGGTAAATACAAAGAATTACAAAAAGTTTCACTGAATTATGCATATACAGGGAATGTAATGCACGCAAACACAAATAAACACGGCGACACACACAAACACACAATAACCAAAGCGAAAAACAAGCAAATGTTTTCGACTCATTTCAAATATAATTTTTCCTTGAAAAATACCCCATTTTATTTTCTACAAACGTTGATTAAATTTGTACATAAATTTTCTAGCTGTAATTATATGCATTAAGTTCTTCACTCATCGATCTATCGATTTCATAAAACCTATCAAACACACTTGTCGTAGTGCGAGGTTACGTGAATCAATGACAAAAACCCAGCGGACACAATCGAGGCCTCTTATCCTGAAAGTGGACAAAATGCCAGACTCATAAATAAGTATCATATATATATATATATATATATATATATATAAGAAACAAATTTAGCATTGAAAATTCAAGGCACTTTTAATTCAGATTTGAATGTCAAATTGAGACAATAATATTATCCAATATGTAAGGTGCATCAAAAGTTTATAGATCCGCTCTGTTTGCTACAAAAATTCATAGTAAATCGATCCAACCTCTAAAAAAACGTTTTCTAACAATGCTACAGTCATTTATTCGATACATTTCATAGGGAGTTCCTTATAGGGAAAAAGCCTTAAGAAGGGTGTTTTTGCGCCAAAACGTAAACCAACGGAGGGGATCGTATGTGAATATATATTAAGCCGAATGAAGAGTTTAAATAAAGTTATTATTCGTGAAATAACTTTGTTAAAATATAAGTGTACATATTGGATATTATTATTTTAATTTGACATTAAAATTTGAATTAAAATTTACTTGAATTTTCAATATTTTATATATATATATATATATATATATATATATATATATATATATATAAAATATATAAAAGTGTGTGTGTTTTCTATTCATGAGACTAGGAATTTGTCCACTGGGATTTTGTTCTGTCATCACGTTTCTCAGGCTAATCGAAAACGAACCAATGCTCATAAGATCGGGCCTGACTCTGTGAGGTTGCATTGCAACCATTGTCTAACGGACTCGTCTCAGTCGAGTAAACATACACAAGGGCGCCTGCCCTTGAGTATTGGTTAGTTTCTTAATCTCGCAAGCCACTACCAGCGAGCACTTTTACACTTAGCAAAGCTCTCCTTGTCAATGTCGGTTAGCATGCTCGTCTTGCAAGAGTGCTCTACAAGTGTGGCCTTGTGCCAGGTTTGGCTTTGTCCAACGAATACTTCCTTACACCCGCGCAAATAAAGGCGTATGTTTTCATTTCGAAAGAAACATATCTAATTGTCTTTTATCTGTTGTTTTTAAACGTCACTGTGTAGAATTTTTTGTATTTTTTCATCCTTTATCAAAACCACGTGACACATTTGCTAGCAGAAATCCATGAAGATAATCTCAAAGAGCTTTCTCTCCACTTCTTCGACCCGTATTTTTTCATTCAGTCCGGCTAGTGCTGTCGGTTACAGTCCTCCACAGTTTCCATTACTTCTAAAAGATACTGACCTGTCTCGTTATTTCCGTACGAAATGTGACCTTTGCCGCTTGCCTTGTTGAACTCTGAACTTCATACTTTTTCCAAAACTGATTGTTCCTTCCAGGAAAAAAAAGCAACGAAAAAAATCCGTAAAAGTTTTATTTTTATGAAATATATATAAATATAATTAATTTTCTATATAAAAAAGAAAACATTAATGTCTTCCAATATAATGATGTCTTAATCTGAAAATTCTAAATTAGGCACTTTACTTTCGGACAAAATGTAGTGACTTCCATCTTTTTTTCGAGCTTTAAAATAGTGACCTTGTGTCACCTTAAACTGTGTAAGCACTAAACTTAGTCATGCCATTCAGAATCACTGGTTCTTTGTTTTTTCTTTTCTTTTTCGAGGCACTGAACCATAGAATGGATGGTTTAAAGACACTAGATAATGTAAGTCGATTGTGGCCTTGCTTAATAAGGAAAAAAAAAAGATATATTTTCCAAACTCGAGTAACTTATATATATATATATATATATATATATATATTAGCAAGTGTAAATGGATATAAATCCGACAGAATGAAGAAATTTTGAAAAAACAAACAAAAATCCTTAAATGTAGTTAAATGAAAGAAATGTCGACGTCTGACGTTTCGGTTTATTAAACCTTTTTCAAGACAATATTCATCAAAATACAATTCAGTTCAATATTGTACGATGGACATAAAAACACAAGTCATTTTCAAATCTGTTCGGAATAAGACTTGTGTTTTTTGTATCCATTTTTTCATTTAACTACATTTAAGGATTTTTGTTTGTTTTTTTCAAAATTTCTTCATATATATATATATATATATATATATATATATATATATATATATATATATATATATATAATTATTTTCTACATTTCTAAAATAATATTTTGTATAATTAATAACGCAATCATTCTGCGTCCTAAAGAGTCAATCATCACTAAACTCAGGCGACCTCCGATAAGTATCACAAGGATACAATATTTTTTATACAAATATTCTATATTTCTATGCAGATCCTACACTTACATTTTTGGGACTTTACGCTGAAGGAAAACTAATTTTTCGGAACTTGCCAAACAAAAAACAAGACTTTGTTCTGAGAGAAATCGAATACCTGGCTACGAAAAGCATTCAACAATATCAGACAAGCTGAAACTATTAATCCTCGCAGAGATTAGATCACCTACCGTAGCGTGTTTGTTTTCTTACCGGTGGTGCAGACAAGTGATTTCCATTCACGGAATGGCACCTCGGCCTGAGATAATGGTTAGCGAATCCAGTCGACATTTAAAGAACAAAACAAATAATAATCGACATTTAAAGATGTCGTAAAATGGGTTAATTTGCTGTGTAACACCTGTTCTCAGTTCGCATTAGGAATTTCTAGAATATTTAAGTTTGTGTAATTGTACATGCTCCATTCGAATCTGGCTTGATAAATTTGATAAAATCCACCGTTTTGGAGTTATAAACAGTTACAGTTTGGATTCATTCACGTCGCGGGCAGCCATTACTGGTGCAAAATAGCTACCAGTATAGGTATCATTGCGCAAGTGAGTGTGTCTACGTAAATAGTTCTTGTGCGCAGTAATTGAGACAAATTTTGACAAAAAAGATTAGTTCCGCACTTAGCTTTTCCATAGTCTTCGGCGTTTAGCTTTCCGCAGCGAATGTATGCAAACAACTCCAGTAATCTATTTACATTATTCGGAGTATTGTCATCATCTTTGTCGCCATATTTATTACAATGTTTCGGTCGTTGTAATAAATATGGCAACAAAGATGAGGACAATAGTCCGAATAGTGTACATAATACCTCACCTCAGACAGATAGATAACGCCACTAATGGTTGCCGCCAATGAAGCAAATGAATCCAAACTTTCACTGTCGATAACTCCAAAACTGTTGATTTTATCATATTTATCAAGCCAGATTCGAATGAAGCATGTACAATTAATTAAACATAAATGTAAGTAT